CCTCCAGGGTGCAAAGGTTTGATTCCATGATTGCGACATTTAAATGAGCTGAACTTGGTGTGAAATCGTGAAACTCGCTGGTTTGAGTGTCAGCGTCGGTGCACCTGTGACCAAAACAGACTGACGAGTATCTGCAGCAGATGAGAAGCAGCAGCACACATGCAGTCACACGTGCAGCCACAGATACAGAACTGCGCGTCGCGGATCCATAGGAGCACACACAGCACAAGCATGCGTCGACCACAAAGCCTCCTGTCACATGTTGAGCAGGCACATACCAGCACGGTGATGTCAGTTTGTTCATCTCGACCTCACACTGCTGCTCTATTCATCACGGGCCGAGCAGCTGAAGGCCACAGCCAACACTGGCGAGCCTCTCCTCCGTCAGCGTCTCTCAGGAATCATTTGTTCTCTGCACGTTCTGACGTCACGAGAGGTTCTGCACGACCGAAGCTGTGTGTTTCTCGTAGGATTAGTTTGAAATGCAAAAGTTGCAAGATCGGTAGGAAAAGAAAGGATGAGGTTTGTTCTCATTGGAGGTTTTCTTCCTGAAACACATAAATTAGGGATATTAAAGTGTTTGTACACCAACAGCAGCAAAAAATGAACCAAACCTGTTTTAATTGTTTCATCATCCAAACAAAAAGAAGCAGATCTGACCAGAAATCGTGCCTCTTACACTTTATTCCACACAGGCTGGTTCCTTTGATGGATCATTAATCTGCTCAGGGAGTCGACGTTTTAAGACTTTACAGCTGCGTTTTTAATCAAGCTTAAATGGTTTACGATTTTACAGAAAAGCACCTGATATGCGGCACGCCGGAGCAGACACCCGGGTTTGTTGATGTCCACTACATGCAAATGTGACATTGCATCGTGTGCGTATTATTCGTTGTTGCAGACAGACTGTTCTGAAGTCACAACTTTGCTTAATTATTGCAGATTTAAAAAAAAAAAAAAACAAAAAAAACGAGCTGATGTTTACGGAAACGTGCTTCACTCAGTTAGAAATTAATTTGCTACAGCCCACCAGGGGAGCTTTGCTGAGGCATCCAGCCGGCAGAACCCTGGCTCGCTTTCACGTTTTCTGCTCTCAGGGTTTTCCTACAGCAGGGGTGTCCAATCCTGGTCCTGGAGGGCCACAGTCCTGCATGTTTTAGATGTTTCCTTCTTCCAACACACCTGATTCAAATGATCAGCTCATCATCAAGCTCTGCAGAAGC